GTGGGGGTGGGGGTGGATTTCTACCCCCGGATTTCTACCCCCATATAATGCAATTTTGACCGTAATCAGGGCTGAATGGGACACAACATCCCGTCAAAAAGACAAAGATACAAATTATGCTTTATTTTAAAACAATTCTCCACCAGGGAAACGAACTCAAGTATTCTTCATGCAAGAGCGAAGAGCTTTGCCATCATATCATAAGCACCGGTTCTTCGAAAGAAAGACTGTTGTTTTTAGGAGGTTTTATGCAGGTGTTTACGCCCCCATCGAAACAATTTAGATCATTTAGAAGGCGGGTTTCGATATTGTCTGTCAAGGCCAACCCAGGCTGAGAGAGATGCGACGTCCCAGCAGAAAAAAAAGAGATACTCGATATAAACTTTCCCCACATGAGCAATGAACTCCTGATTTCTGCGTATGACGGCAAAGCTCCTAATAATAATTGGTAGACAACAGACGCCGGTAAAACCATGTATGGTTTTCTGTTTTTCATCTCTTAATATTACGCTTCTATATAGTTTTGGTAAGCCGACAGCAGTTATTTGAAAAACACTCCTTGGTAAACCTGATTCTGACTTATCTTTTTACTAGTAAATAATGATTTTACACATTTGCACGTACATTGTATTAGCAATTAATTCTCCTCTTATCTTCGGCTTAACTTTTTAAAAGGCCGAGGCAAGGGAAGGAGGCGCAACAGTGATGGAAAAATATCTGTTTGATGGACAACGCTGGAGGGGGGGGGGGGACACATGGAAATGACTTGGGTTAATTAGCGCGTTTAAACAAGTCGTTTGTTGTGGCAAAGTATCACAGTGCTGAAATCATCTTTCTGTGTGTATTCATCGATTTTGGTTTCTCACAATTTAATGGGATTTTTTAATTTCACATCTTAGACTGAGGGTTGTGCCATTGATATCGAGAACTCAAGAAGAAAGCAAAACGCTAGCTTCGACTTCGACTCATCTGTTTAAGCTCTAAAAACTGAGACGCTATTTCTGCAAGACGACCACATGCCTCAATCTGGTACCAGATGATAATGTGCGTGTGGCGAGAGGGGGGGGG